CATAACTCTGTCTTTCACATATGTTTCTTCATCAATTTTACTGTCGTGAAGTTTAAATAGTTTGTGTCTCTTATTTCTCTTCTGAATTTAACACCACAATGATTTCCTTTTCATTCTTTATCTTGGTCCTTGGACACAGAGCTCCCAGCAGTGATTGGATACCCAACCCCATAATGGCAGTTCCCGGTCCATAGTTCACAGGATACACCGCCCTATGAGCTCTCACTGAAAAGTTACAAGTAAAGTTCACACTTGATGGGAGAAACTACTTCAGCCGTCTGTTCACAGATTTTACCTTTTGGGTCGACAGGTTCCAGAGGGTTATTTCCAACACGGAGTCGCCGAGACAGGCCTTAACTTTCTCCATCATAATTTTTGACACAGTTGCCTCTCCCTTGCTGACCCTGAAATCACTTGGTAAGTATAAGTTGTCTGTTAGCAAGTTATTTCTTTTCTTCCCTGCACACACTAGTGATTTGGTCCTGCACTCACAATGTACACCTTGGTAACACTTCACGATTATCTCCCTTACACCATGAGCAGCCCTCTCCTATCACTGTCTTTCATCTCATCGTTGTGGTGTTGTACTGTTATTTGTCTTATTTTTTGTGTCTGTTTTTTGGCTCTTTTCTCTAAATGATTGCTGGTGTCCTGATTTTTTTTACATAAAGTCGAAAATTATTGGGGGGGGGGGGGGGGGGGTAATAGGTCTTAAAATCTCCTCTGATCGTTTTATATATCTGAGTAGTACAGTACCTGCACTTTAATTAAAAAACTCAAAACCATAAGTCTAAGTATAATGTTTATTAAGATATTTAAATTTACATTTCAAATTCGATTCAATTTTCATGTCTATTCTTGCAGGAATCGCCATCTTCAGTACCAGTAGAAGACTTGACTTACCAGCCCAAGCCTTGGAGACAGCCACTTCCCATTTTAGTATCATACCCTATGGTCCTGATTTTTTCCAACAATGGTAAATTTGAAAAGAATGTGGGATCCTATATAATTCAGTTAAAATGCACAGTTGTATGAGTTTACAAATTAAAAGTTATGCCTATGGAAATCATTAACGCATCAATTTTCTACGTTTGATCTTAATCTCAAATCTCGTGATAATAATGTTTACTTATGAACAGATTAAATAAAACAGCTGTTTTCTTTAATATTTCAAAATAATTATAGGAGGCTAAATAAAACTAAGGAATCACAATCATGTTTTAAGATGTACCCTGCACGTTTTGCTATATCAAGCTATACAAATACTTCATATTATAGAATAAAAGACTAAGAAATGCGAACGCCGTAGTTGACTCCGTTTCCGAGATATTGTGATTTATCTGAAAAACACACATTTGACTCAGCGGTGATTGCCTTGATATGGGTTGCCCACATCTGTGACGTCACACGTTCAACGCTGTCAAAACAGCCCTTTTGGTATATACCAGGGAGCTTCGATCGTGTGTTCGATATGTGAGCTTTTTAGTTACTTAATTGATATATTCCGTCGTCACTTTCTAGTGTAGAAAATATTTCAATACTTTTTAAAAATGTTAATGATGAAATGAGTTCATCCTGAGGAGGTAAACGGTGTGTTGGATGCTATCTAAATGAAGATGTGCATTTTACATAATTGGTTAATCTAGTGAATGTAAAAAACATACTTTTATTAAGTCACTTGAGACAATGTCTCAAGTGACCTTTTCTAATCACGTTTTGTCCGTCGTCGTGCGTCTTGCGTCCGTAAACAATTTACATTTTCAACTTCTTCTCCAAAACCCCTTAACCAATTTCAATGAATTTCTGCAGAAACCTTCCATGGCCACAGGTCAACCCCGATTGTGAATAATATGGTCCCCAGCTCACAGGGGCCTGAGGGGCGGGGCCAAAAAGGGTCAAATTGACTGAAATTTCAAAAATCTTCTACTCAAGACCCATATATGGTAGAATCAAATACTCTTCATAGATGGAAAGGTCTGAAGGTGCTGTAATTGTGAATTCATGACCCTGGGTTCTCACGTTTCCCTCTGGGAAGGGGGTCAACTTTATTATAGTTTATATAGGGAAATCACATTTCTGACAAACATATGTTTGATTTCCATTGGGATTAATTCAAAATTGGTTAGCATTATCAGTATTGGATAGCAAAATTTATCATGGTTTATATTAACAAATGATACTTTGGATATTACATGTCCATAACTTGATTGGAATTATAACCCTGAGTTGACAGTTTGATACTTTGAACATTTTGAGTCAGTCCTACCCCAAAGGGCTGTAGGGCGGGGTTCAAAGGAGTCAGTGTGCTAGATTATCTTCATTTTCCTTGTTTAGAATCAGAGGTGCTGGTTTCAAATACTTTTCACTCTTAAATCTGTAAGCTAGATATTGAATAAGGTGGTTTTATTGTCTTTGTCTCTTTGAATAATATTTCTGTTCATGCTTTAAAAACAAAAATCAACTCTCTGTATAAATATATCAGAACTCAGGTAACCGTTAAGGCCCATGGGTCTCTTGTTATTAAATTGATCTTTAGGAAATTTGATGAACACCTATAAACAACATTATTGAATACAAATTGAGGCAAATTAACGTATTCCAGAGACGTAATATATACGTCTCTGCTTATACATTCCCCGTTATCTCGAGTGAGGACGTTGTCGTTAAGTTGTAAATTGGAAGACACATAATCTATACGAATCTACATACTAACTTCAGGTGCCCCCTTACCCTCCCGCTGACATCCCTTTGATGTCATACCTGTACACAGGTACATAGGTGTGTCTTGGGCCTCCTGCTGTCAGCACTGGACACAGGTGTTTAGTGTTACTTACCTGTAAAAGATTTTAAATTATAATTTGTGTAAGCTACACGTATAGGGAGAAACAAAAATGTTTGAATCTCATAATTCAATGATATTTTTGAGATAAATGTAATCACGGAATTAGAATATAAGTCCGTGATATAATTTAGCATCGCATACATAGGTATTGTATTGTATACAACTGAATGTGTAACTGTCGGTTTTTTGCTGTTTATTTGAATTGTCGACCTAACATAAGAGAGACATAGTGTCGTCGATATGTCATTAAACGGCGATACTAAAAATATTGACATTTAAAAACAGCAGACACGCGACGTTAAAGTTATTTTGTAAACATTTTTCACTGATATATTTCCGTATTTTTGGTAGAGGTACCACAGTATATAACTTTGCAATATAAATATTCCGGCACAGAAACTGATCACGAAGTATTGCTGTTCAATGACGACATGATTGAATAAGTTATCACTGTAGATTAGAGACATATAAAGTATACACGTTTCTGTGTAGGGTAAAGAAAATTATTGTAAACTGACTTTCCAGCTAAAATTAAGAAATATGTTTGATCGACAACACTAAGACTATTTCTGTTCTATTTCATTAAACTCGTACATTCGAATAAAATGTCATCAGTACTCATATTCAGGCTGCAGTTATGATGTCACTACCCTGTGAACTTGAATCTGACAAACCATCAACAGCTGACCGATCTGATTTACTTCGTCTTTTTATTCCTTTTACCATTTTTAGGGTCCACGTGAAAAGTTTAACCTTTGTTTATTGTTTATCTACTCTACCATACGAGTCGTTACATCACTGTGTATACTATGTTTGTTGTTATATTATCTATAAAACCCATCGTGAAATTATAGGACTTTGTTTACTGCACGCCTGGTTACAATCTGCTTTTCGATACATTAGTGCAAACGTTTCTAGGTTCAATTTACGCTATGTGTGTGTAATCAGGTTGTGTCGTTGTCCGTTGTCCCTTCAGGGAGGGCGTAAGAATTGTACCTGATGCCCTCATTGCATGATCGTTGGAGGCGACTAAATTTGGGATCTTATGTTTTCTCTTCTTTCTAAACAACTTTCTCTTTCCTAATGTCTCTCTTGACAATGCCTCACTTTTGGCCTTTAGTTGAGCGTTCGCCCCTGTGAGGAAGGCTTTGGGTTCTGTCCCCTGGCCGGGACATACCTGTCTGTAAAAATGGTTGTTTCTACTCCTGCTTAACGCTCAGCAATTTAGGAGTGGGGTGTCCTGCTTGGTGTCTTCGGCAGTATGTTTCAGTGAGATAGCACTATAAAGTCGGCATCAGTTCCGCGCTATCAATAGGAGACAAACACGAACATTTCGCAGGCTCCCAAAACACACACGCATACACTACACGCATGCATCTTGCACACATGGGAGGCCGTCATTAAATTGCCATAGCTGTTGATAGGACGTTAAACAATACTAAACCAAACCAAATTGTACATTCCTGTCTACTGTATGGGTAGTATGTCTTTGTTAACCACTCCTCCGATGAGCTTTAGTATTAGCGAGGTTTCAGTTTTACTACAACCCTGGCTTTGTTAATTATACATCTGTCAACACTGCATGTGTTCTGTCATTTCACTCGGAGTACACCTTTGGAACGACACTTAAAAGGCTAAGAACACATTCTTATGACACATTTATATATAAACATTATTTCCCTCTCACTTGACAGAAACACTACATATATATATTGTAGAAATATTTCCCTGTCTGACTCTAGAACAAAGACGGTGGAATTTCACTGTCAATACATTTGTAGGCGTGCAGTTGTTGCAGGATTTCCGAGTTTGATCTATATTAAGAGTGTTTCGTCATGTCTACTACAACCGGCTTAAACCGGTTTGTAATCAAACCTTCTAATACTTTCTTACTGGAGTAAAGTGATAAAAGCAACCAGAAAGTTATGCAGACAATAATAAATGTTCCTCTTTGTGTTTTAATATTTAATGTTTAATATTAATATAAATAGGTTAGGTATGATAAAAGAGAAAACTTCATTTCTCAAAGGACAATTCTAGATATTTATGTCTGGCATTGAAGTGATTAATAATCCTGTATACTAAAAAACTATTATATGATCATATTGTTCCTACAAGCGGGTATAGGTGGTTAAATAAGAATAAGACCAGCATTGTAAGCGACCTGCACAAACCACGTATAGCTAACGTGCTTGTTTTATAGTATCTTGAATTTATATAATAAGTTTAAAACTCCACTTCACTGTACAGGTATAGAGACAGCACGGTTTTACTTCCTGATACATTATGTTATTGTGACAAACTGTCGCCTGCTCGAGCAGTGTACAAGAGTCATGAACGGGTACTACAAATCTCTAGCAAAGGTAGGTTGATTATATACTTTTTATTCCAACATTTTGTAAATAATTCATTGATCATCTGGCATTTCTTGTTGCTCATACAATTTAGTTATAATTTGTATTACCGAATTGTATGAAGGTTTTATGCATATGGAAATCCTGTACGGATCAATTTCAAACGGATGATCTAAATCTAAAATATCATGAAAATAATGTTTTAGTTATAAACAGATTAAAATCTTACGCTGCTGTAACTAATTTCTTTATGTAATTATAGTTGGTAAACAACCTACGGGACCACTATCTAGTTTTAATACAAAACATACAAAATGGCCGCTACATACTACTTACTAGGTAGCCCGATAACGATAGTCGATAACTGCTGTAGTGTTTTGCACACGTCATACGGTAAATAAAAGTGAATACATACAATGATATGGTTTCTAAGTCAAGTTTACATACACCTAAAACAAACACCTTGTTACCCCTTATATCATAAAACTTAATGACTTGAACTATATAGATGGTTACATATAGGGATCTACCTGATTGGATATCATTGTAAATACTAAAGACGCCATGATAGCGCCACGTAATATTAACAAAAATTTAAATATAGGAAAATATTTGGAGGGAGTACCCTAGTAGCTCCGTTGTTCAAGAAAATAAACATGTTCTGTTTCATCGATTGCATCCGTCGTGTAGTTGGTGATTCGGTTTTCAGTGAACTACTCGAAATATCACAATTTCGATAGTTTCAATAGAGACAGGTCGGTTTAGGCTATGAGCGTTTTTTATAACCAACATCGAGAACAAATAAGCAAATATATTCTATTTTTAACAAATTTCAGTACACTATTGTGAATTTGTGTAGTTTACCTGGGTATGAAAGCAGGTTTTATCATTGTATATTCCTGCATACAGTATTGGTGTTGTGTCTTTGCTAACTGCTTCCTTGGTGTGAATCAACTTTGTTAACTATGAGTGTAGATTCAGTATTTATTAGCTCACCTGCCCGAAGGGCTAGTGAGCTTATGCAATTGCGCGACGTCCGTCGTCCGTCAACTTTTCCTACAAATCGCTGCTAGTGTGGCGAATCACGGCTCCACTTTGCCGTCAAGTAGTATGTCCCTCATTTTGTTGATAACCTTCGCTGTCAAATAGACGCTTGAAGTATACATGTATTTATAGGATTTTATGTAAACGTTTTAATGACACTGAAGAATCATAGGTGGCGCTAAGTTCGTCTGGCAGCAGACTATAAATAGCCGTCGGCTAACTTCTGCAGCCCACTCGTCGTTCGATCGTCGGCAGAGACAGAAACACTTGTGAAAGGTAAATATGCTAGTATTGTACAGACGTGCCTGAACAAGGCTTCCCTGTATCTTACTGCAAAGGCATAGAGATAATTTACTGAAGAGTAAATACGGAGGTAGATGTGCCTGAGCAAGGCTTCCCTTCTCCGCTACGGTTACTCTATGTGATCGGTACATCACATGATGGTGAATTATAACCTTGGGTCTGCCCTGTGATTGAGAGAAAGTGTATGGGAGCACTTGGCATGTAATAGCTAGAGAGTACTCAGTAGTTACTTTGAGAGGCTCGGTTTAGCTGTTGTTAGAGTGAGTGCTCGTTCTAGGGAGTACTCATCTCTTGGATATGTGATTCATGTATTATATGTAGTGAGTGCTCAGTTATTCAATTCATACATTAGGTAAAGTGAGTGCTCGTTTTAGGGAGTACTCCTCTCTTAGATATGTGTTTATAGTTGGTATAGCTAATTTACAGAAGGCAATTTCTTGTATAGTCCCAGGTAGGGAGTAATCATTTGTTGGCTAGGGAGTACTCAGTATTTTATTCTTAGTAGGGAGTACTCAGTATTTCATTTTGAGTACTCATTTTGTTGTTATATATTTCATAGTTATTAGATCATAGTGTTGTGTATTACTGAAGTGGAACCAATTTTGGATATCAACCATATTTAACTGGAAGCATCCCTTAGGTAGTGGAGATTCAAAATTGTACAAATGGTTGGGCTGACAACCCAGGGGCTATATTGCTACCAACTACTTCTTCTGTACAACTATGCACTGGATATCAACCATATTTGACTGGACGCATCCCTAAGTGGTGGGGATTCCAAAAGGGAGCAATTTGGCTATATTGCTATAAACGACTTCTGTAGAATTATTGCCATGGATATTGATTTGGTCAGAAGCTTTCATGGGGTTATTACTTGGAAATGGTTGAGATCCCCAGAATATAACTATATATTTAATTGTGGAGTATAAAGAGAAGAATGCACATTTGCTTCCATGATGGCCTAGGGTCTGGCCCCACCCTTTGAGACATAGTCCCTGGGTCATAACTTTGAAACGGTTGAGATCCCCACCCCATAACCATGCATATATGCAATTGCTGACTATAAAGAGATGAATGCACATATGCTTCCAGGATGGCATTGGGGTCTGCCCCACACTTGGAGACTTAACCCCTGGGTTATAACTTCGAAATGGTTAAGATCCCCACCCCAAAACTATATATACACTTGTTGGGCATAAAGAGACGAATGCAGTCATGATTTTATAATTGACCCCAGGGTCTGCCCCACCCTTGAAGACTTAACCCTTGGGTCATAACTTTGAAACAGTTGAGATCCCCACCCTAAAACAATAAATACAAATGCTGGACAAAAAGAGACAAATGCAGTCATGCTATTAGAATTGATCCTGGGGTCTGGCCACAACCCTAGGGATCTAGTTTCTGGGTCACAGCTTGGAAACAGTTGAGATCCCCACCCCATTACCGTGAATTAAATTGCTGGACATGAAAAATCTAATACAGACATATTACAAGAACTGGCATTGGGGTCTGCCATATTCCCTTGGATCTCATTTGGAGAATATTTTGCCATGATTGCCTAGATATTTAGATGAGCGATACAGGCCCTCTGGGCCTCTTGTTACAACCCCAACTGTGTTAACTATACATCTGTCAAAACTACATGTGTTTTGTCATAATTAATTTCAGTACATTATGTACGTTATGTTGTTAACAACTACCGTTCCCATTGTATTTCATCCTTGTAACATTCTTACGGCACATTTAGAAACAAACATAGGTTTCTCCCTCATTTGACAAAAAAACTCCATATTGTTAGGGTAAAAGTGTTTCTGTCTACCTGATTAATTGTTTATGTAAATACTACAGACGGCATGCAAGCACTGTGTAATATTTACCAAAAATAAGTAAAAAGTGAACACAGAAAAAATGCTCAAGGTCCCCTGTCGACCAGCTCTACACAATTTCGGTGATAGATTTCGAATGCTGACAAACTTACGATCAGTTTAGCAGATAAACATAGGTAAAGACCAGGAGCAGTTTACATAGCCACCGTTGTAATCTAATGTGGACATATTCTATTCTAAACACATCACTGTGCAAGCGATGCGTCTTGTTTCATTATCTAGTCCATCCATCTTTAAATCATATGCCTTTATTTCCTGCACCACTCCTGGTTACAATGAGCTTGCTGTTCCTTTTTTTATTATAGCCCTCGGTATACTGTTGAAAATATGTTTAGTTTCATCATTCACAACACTCTTGACCACAGTATGGGTGTTGTATCTTCAATAACTTCGCCCTCGGTGTGATATGGCATTGTTTCATGTACCTGGTTTCATCCCTTACTTTGTTTATTATACATCTGTCAAAACTACATATGTTTTGTTATGATTAATTTCACTCTGAGTACATTATGTACGTAATGTCGTTAACAACNTTACTTCATATCCGGTTCGGGAAAGATTGTTCTGACTTACTCTAAGGCAAAGAAGTAGGGATAATTCCTCCTCTCCCTCCCATACCTCGTGTCATTGCAATTGCTTGGCGTGCAGTTGCTGCGGGATTTCTGCGTTTAATCTATTTAAAGATCGTCATGTTGACTAAAACCGGTGTCAACCGGTTTGTAATCATATCTTTAAGAACCTTCTAATACGAGTAAAGCGATTAAAAGCAAACAGAAAGGTATATAGATAATCATAAATTATCCTCTTTGTGCTGTACTATTCCCTCCACCAACTAAATTGTGAATATGTTAGGTATGACCATAGAGAAAACCTCGTTCCTCAAAGGGCAATTCTAGATCTGTTCATGTTTAGAATCGATGTGATTAGTAGTCATGTATACAGACAAACTATTATATGATCATATGTTTTTCTACGTGCGGGTATAGGTGGTAAAGTCCCACACTGTAAGCGACCTTCACAAACCACACATAGCTAACGTATTTATTTAATTGTGTCTGGAACTTTAATAATCAGTTTAAAACTCCACTTTTCTGAACAGGTAAAGTGACAGCACGGTTTTTCTTACTGGAACATGATCTGCAATTGTGATAAAATATCGCCTGCTCGAGCAGTGTATTAGGGTTATTTAAAGTGCAGTGCTTTTTGTTTAAAAATGTCAATGGTTATCTCCCTTTGCATAATCTGAAAATATGCAAATTTCATCGGCAAATGAAACAGGGGACTTTTTGTAGTCGCATTGAGTCCAACTTAAGTAGAAAGTGAAATATATAGCAGTGAAACTTGATTGGGTTCGATTGGGCGCATTACCGATATTGGCCAAGTTTATTCCGTATTAGTCCAGTTTGTTAAGTTATTGATTGGGCAATATTAAAAACTGTTTCATACATATGTTGTAAAACCTAAATAGCACCCTCCCTTGCCTGTCAGTGATGTTCACAAATCATATGATAGTCATTGTTAGTTGAAACCCCTAGATAAACATATCATTTCCAGTATCATAATGTTAAAAACCACTGTTCCATACATCCGAACACATGTGGTAAAACATGAAAAGCCCCCCCCCTTGCCTGTCCGTGATCTTCATAAATCACACATACCGAACGTGTGTGTCTTATTTTACCTGGTATTTTTAGTATAAAGCTAAACAAAAGCTTCTCCGCTCAAGCGATATAGGACGGTGACAGCTCGTATTAAGGTATAGCTCCCAAACACAGC